AATTATCATGGGATCTAAAAGCTGCAAGCGCTTGTAGTGCCATGCACTTAAAGCTTGCACTATATGCACGCACTGCGCTTGCTGTCTTATCTCCCCCATCGTGCTGAATGAGACCTTTTCTGTGAAGTTCGTACTTGGGCTAGGGTTAATGTTGCCTGCTATAACACTTCAGTTTGGTCGCTGGGTCTGTGTGTTTCGGTTTTTGCTGTCAAGGAATTCATTGCCACTCGAAAAGGCAGTTGTAGAGGTAGGATAAAGTTTCTTAAGAGTGTTGTATTGGTCAAGATGAACATGATGATCAAACACAGCCCCTTTTGAAGTAGGGTGAGGAAGGTGGTTATTGAAGGTGGCAAAAACCCTCAAATGGGTTTAGGGACAGTCCAAAATCGAAGGTACAAGCATCAGTGGGCAGCGGCTACTGACACAAAAGAAACCCACCCATGCCCTTGGCTTCTTTTAAATAAACGGTACTTCCTTCGCACATTCATAATTCGGACTCAGGCCTATTTACCGGCTGTTCGAAATAAACTGCTTAAAAGTAGTACAAGTACGGCTTTCTGTAAACCTAGGCCTTATTGTATTACTGAATTTATTGTTTTCTTGAGCTCTTTACGAGGTTTGTAAATAAGCTTCATTAGGCTGACGCTTCGGCGGAGTAGCCCTCTTTAAAGCCTGAAAGGATCATAACACTCAACAGTTAGCAATTAAAAATTATCAATTGGATAAAAATTAAAAAATTTAAATAGAAATTAAAATTGCAGTTGAATAAATGGATATATTGTATTTATATTGTATTTATATTTATTGATAGATTTTGTAATTGAATTAAATTGAAGTTTAATCAAAAATAATTATCAGCAACTAAATTATCATAACAATTTACAGGAATAATGAGCACGTAGATGGTATGAAGCGGTTGAAAGAGTCTACTACTAGGGAGTCACCGAATTCAATAATAAACAGAGGCGTTTTTGAAGTCAACGTTGAGGTCGTGGCACAGGGTCGCGATTATGCGCGCGAGGCATTTTGGGTACAAGTCTCACCGATCCAGAAATAAATCGTAGGAAAGAATGTCTCGCAATCACGTGATAGCTGCGTCCTCAATCCGCAAAGCTACGATGAGTGGTTTTCCTTTGATCACCTGCGTGCCTTGGGGGTCTCGAACCTCAGTGGCTCAATGGAGACGTTCGATCGGATAGTCACAAATTGTTATTATCCTTTCAGGCTCCAAAGCAGACGACTCCGCTGAAAAGTCATCCTAATAAATTCTATTTACAAACCTTGTGAAGAGTTCAAAAAACAATAGACAATAGACTTCGTTTGAAAGGTTTTGTAGTTTGGAAAAATGGTAGAGTGATGCAAGGGAAGCGACTGACATGGTGATTGTTAAATGTCCGCAACTTCTCATGTTTGCAAGCAAAGTGGAAACGAATCAGTAGATGAGATGTCAAAATCATGGTAGTGCAGCAGTGTGTACCTAGGTGGGTGGAGTGAGCAATAACTTTGCAATACCGTTGTGAGATCGCCTGAGCGCATGCAAATTTTGGTTGAGAGTAAACATAGAAGGAAAGTAGGAAAAAATGTGTACGGGAAAAGCGGTTGCTCAGATAGCGTTAGAATGGATGCTTCCAGAGTTTAAGGACGTGCATTGCTCCACCAGCCGGCCGGCGCCGTTGCTGGCCACGTGCTGACAACACTGGACCGATGAATACCGCTAACGCGGCTCTGAACGCAATCTGCTCGAACACGTGGCCAGCAGCGCCGTCGGTCGGAGGAACAATGCACGTCGTTGAACTCTGAAAGCACACACTAGCGTAAATCCCGAAGCTGCCTGATTATCGCGATGATAGTAGATAGAGACTAGAACAATTCAGTGGCTGGATGCTCATGACATCTCAGGAGGTGTGTTTCGCTCGGTGCGTCCTTCGAAATTAGGTCACGCCGCAGCCGTCGCTCGCGGCGGGTCACCTTGCGATTCTTGACAGATGTCGCAATTGTCAATGGGGGATACGATTTGCGCTTGGTTCACGGCAGTCAGCTCAAAGGGAAGAGATAACGAACTAGTCCAATAATTCGCTCCACTGACACTCAGTGGTACTGTAACGTCATTTCGAGATCTCAGTAGGGTGCATCGCACGCGAAGTAGGCGGGATGACCTATAATAGTTTCGACGGACGCGCGAAACAGACTTTCCCCTATTTGAGGAGGTAGAGTTTCGGTTTAAGCCTACCAGCATGGTTCGCCGGCAGCCTATGTGAAGGGTGCAGAGACCAGCGAGTGGCAGAGCATATAACTGCTCGCTGCTGAATCATGTTTAAGAGAAGGGTAGTGAGATTACCTTCCACTGTGAAAAGTGGACCGCATAAAGATCATATACATTACTTGAGAACTGATTATTCTGAGATGAGTACAGTTTTAGCTTACAAGGAAGGTCTTTCAGGGCGTGGAACGCTTTTTGAAAATGGTTTTTTGCATGGTGTGGGGGCATGAGCACTGAGTACAGAACTATGGTCCATCCGCTAAATGGCCTTCTGAATGCCAAAAAAGG